GGAGGGGTCCCGGCCCAGGGCGCGGTAACAGGGAACCGTTTGTTCCAGGTCCGCGGCCGCCGCGATGATGAATACGAACTTCTTCCACATACTCAAAACAAAAAGAGAAGTAAGTTTGTCATAGACGTTGGTTCTGAGATAACCCCCTTGGCTGAGGGGATGCAGCTGGCTCCAGCAGGCACACTGGGGTTGGCATTTAATAATTAGCAGCTTATAGAGGAGATGGGGATAGTAGGGGACGTATGCGGGTTGACAGTCATGCCCTGGAGCTGAGGTGTGTGAGTGGTAATGTACAGCTCACACACCTGAACAGGTAATCACACTGCTTGTAACCCTCACTCCCCCTACTCACGGCTCCATAGCCAGCACACTAGTTCAACTAGTCTCTTGTTTTATGTCTTTCAGCTCATTCCCCTGGCTGGAATAATATCCGTTGCAGCTTTTGGGGCTGTCTCTTTTTCCATCTATTCCCTATTCTGCAAATCCGATGTGATGTAAGCAAAAAACTTACTGCTTCGAGTTTACCTTCTTTTGATCAACAGAGGTGTTTGACCAGTATGTTTTGCACAAAAAAAAAAGTGCCATATGGATGTTCCAGACTGCTGGTTACAACTAAGATACTACAGATTGTAAATACTGAAGAAATTCATTAATTTGGAGCATATTCTGAATTATTTCATAACTTTAGATTTAATAATTACATTTTTTTTTTTGCTTTAGTTGCAATAGATTTTAAATGTGCTTATAAAAGAATTTCCAATAAGTATACAGGTGGATGGCATGCAGATATGTTGCAACCAGGCTATTGGCTTGTATATGAGGAACAGCATTTGATAATATGAACTTAGAATAGCTTCATATTTAATGGCTTGGCTAATAACTGGAGCAACTCCTATACTCTAAGCTTTGGGGAACTTTTATTTTCAAAGTGGTAGGAATAGGCATTCTAGCTGTCAGGGTAAGAATTCCCTTCTTCTTCTCTGTGTCCTTGTTCAGTTTTGATTTTTCAGCTTTCTTCCCTTATGATAATACCTACTTGAACAATGTTGGCTTGTTTGGTGATTTGGAAGCCACAAATAAAGCAAGACATCATTGGTTTATATTAAAATATAAATGCCCAAACCTGTGTAAACTTGTGTTTCAGGGAACTACTTACTTACAGCAATCATTCTACTGACAATAGACAGCTCTTACAAGAAAAACATATGCAAGATCACACCCTAAAACATAATACCTGTTTTGCTTTATCTTCTCTTAAAGCATTAACAAGAGTAGCAATCCAGAACCATGGGAAACTGTTGATGCTACCAAGCCTCAGAAGGTAATTTGTACAAATAATATAGTCAATACAAATAGCATACGTTTTCAACGCAATTAGTATCTTCAAATATGTAAGATCTAGCAAAATTAAATATATATAAAATATAAATTAAACCCCAAACAAATGTAAAGCTTATGTTTGTCTACTTAAAAGAAGAACTAACTGCTTAATTCATTACTTTACATAAATTATTTTCCCTGTATTACTTAATACAGGGGATTCAGCTGTTACATTCTAGGTCTGATCCTTAATTTATGGTGTACTTTTGGTTTGTATGTTACACCCACTCCCTGCAACATCCATTTACTCAATTCCATTAATAACAATGAAAACTTAGAATATAGAGGAAATGTTCATTAATGCCTTGTTACAGAGTTACAAAATTGCCTAAGAATGTTATGAGTACTGTAGCCTGAAGAAAAAAAGTCTTATTTTAGAAGAGCATCTAGGAAAAAGAAAAATAAAACTATTTGAATTACTAGTTATTTAATACCCAAGTGATTTTGTTCAATGAATGATTAAATAGGTCGTTAGTTGCTATTTTTGCTTGCTTCTGAAGGGAGAATGTAAAGCTACTAGAAATCCTTCATGAATAAGTTGATGCATGATATGAGGGGTGGGAGTGGAGTAAATGTCACTGGGATTTTGCTGATTTCTTCCATGTTTTAATTTCTTCCAGCTATTAACAATCCGTCAGAAATGGAAACCTATAGAAGAGCTGGAAAATGTCAAAAAGCTTACGAAGTAACATGTTTCTGTTGCCTCAAAAAGGTACCCTATGAATCTAGTGGAATCAGTTCTGCACAAACTGACTACTGAAATCAGTGTGCGGAAATGCTTCTGCTACATTTTTAGGGTCTCCCTACATTTCTTTTTGGAATCTGGATGAGGAGTTCCATATTGCTTTAGAAGCTGGCATACTACATAGTCAAAAAATGTCTCACATAATTGATTTTCTGTGGGCATTTTATGTCAAATGTTGACTATCCAGATGTTAATTATAGACGGAAAAGCCTTCACACTTTTCGTAGAATATTGGGTTTTCTCAAAAACACTAATTTTGTAATTTTAAAATAGATTTTATTTAGAATTTATACATTTTTACAACATTCCATGAAAATTCAATAAACGGAGATTACCCAAAAGCCCTTCTAAATTGGGATTCCTGATCTGCTCCCTCTCTACACTGTATTTCAGTGCTTTGTACTGACTTAAATAGTCATCATAGCCAGGGGATGTCTTTGTATGGCAACATACGTGGACATAAAGTATATTAGCATTTGTTTTCTGTGTTACATGTGATGACATTTTAAGTCAAAACTAATGTTTGACTGCTAATATTAAAACTCAGACATGCACTCACCTTAATTCATTGAGGAGTCCAGTAGGTTATTTAAGGGAGTATTTGAGACTATAGGATTAGAACATCAGAATTAAGCATGGGTAAAAGGGAATTGGAAATGACATAATTTCTGTTGTATTTAAATACTGTTCCTATTTAAATTTAGCAAAAGTTTAACTAGAGCTTGGAAATGTGCATTATCCAAAACTATTTGCATAATGTTAATTCTCTTTGCACAAGGTGGTTCATGTGGAAGCTTAAATGTACTGTGCCATTAACAATACTTTCAAGCATTTCTAGATACATGCTATTGGGGACATCTGCGTTAACAAAAAGAAAATAAATTTAATTTCAGAATGGTTCTTTAAACAGCCAGTTCTTCTTTAAGCCTCTCTCTGCTTTCTTACGGGTTGGCCAGGGTAAGAATGTCATGGGCAGACCCCCAGTATATTAAAGAGGCAATACGTACATCCAGTGGTAGAACAGTCCTTTTGTGGATATTTTCTGTACGTGTCTCCTTCCAAGTAGTTTCACACTATCTTACACAGTTCTTTCACAACAGATGTTCAGAATGCATATTCCTTTCTGTGAGGAAGAAAGCAAAAGTGAAACAGCTGCAAACTGGAAAAAGTCGCTGTGAGTAATAGGGAAGTGCTTTAGGTTACTCTAGTGCAGCAAAGACAACTTAGGTTAGTGAAGCTGTCTCCTGAATTTTAAGATAGCTTGGCTTCAGGAGCTTTAAGTTTACTTAAGATTTATTGATGCTGAGAAAAAAAAAAATAAGTTAAAATGTTGTTTTATCCCATACTTGTGTGCAGATGCAGTGTAAATATTGATCAAGTAAGGATGACTCAGCAGCATTTATGTTTTAGAGTAAGAGGAACTAGAAGACTTCAGAATACATTCTTAGCTTTCATTTTAAGGAATGACATTCCAAGATGATTGAATAGCATATAACCACAGAAATCCAGTGCTCTGAGGAATGTAAGTTTCAAGTATTTTAGTAGAAATATTTTTAAATATTTTATGTTATTCTGTATTTCTGCTGGACTGTATGAAACAAAGTGCTGTGTTCTGAATTGATGCATGAATTAAAAGAGTTTGTTCTTCAATAAATCACTTGTATGGTTTGTAAATACTATGACCTAGGTGTCTGTCAGCATTAGGGAAATAAGTGTGTTATGTTGTTGTTTGTGGGTTGGGTTTTTTTTGTTTCGTTTTTTTGTTTGTTTTTTGTTTTGTTTTTTGCTTAAGTACTTTTCATTGGATTGTAAAGTGTTGAAAAAATGAATTGTTCTTGGGACAATTTTGTGTGTTCTCAGACTCCTAAAAATAGTCTTGCTTCTGCATAGATGAGTGTTTTTTCTTGTAAGTAGAGCACACTAAGGGCAATTGCTGTATCTCTCCTCTCAACTACTCAACGTAAATCTATAAAGCAATATACAAATTATTTCCTTGTTCAACTTGTACATTATTTCCTTGTACAACCATCAGTTAAGACATTAAAGACTTAATTGGCTGAATTTTATGAGCTTTTATGAGACCAATAAGAATTCCATGTCATGTGTTACTCAAACCCATGACTTTTTATTCCATGGGCAGTTTAGAGACCACTGAAATTATTTAACAACTATTTTTCCTTCTCTCTAATCTGTTCTCTCAATTTTGTCTCCTGCTCCATTTTGTTCTTAGTTTTGTTTTGTTTGTTAAACGATCACTATCTTTGCTCACCCTCTAGTACTCTTCCATGGAACTATACAACTTCTAACTTTATATTAATTACAAGGTTAAAGTGCTCATTGGCTTGTTACATTTTTTCAAATATAGATTAGAAACCATTAGAAGTGTTTGTTCAATAGCTCTAATCACTGTTAGAAATTTATCATTAGTATCTATGCTCATGCTTTTCTAATGCAGATGACTTTCAAGTAGTATACTTGTAAATAGCTTTCTGAAAGAATAGGTTGCTTTCTGCAGTATACATGTAGTTATTAATAAATTACTATTTTTTGTTATTACGATAGTACTTAAAGGCCCGAACCACAGAACTTGTGTTGTCACAGTTAGCCAAGAGCTATATTGTTTTCCATTTGGTTTTTTTTGCACACGATAGCCCTGATGTCAGCATTTCTCTGTCTGAGGTCCCCTACCTCCTGCATTTTGCTGCTGCAAGATGCTATTAGTATAGTATGCTACTAACTAGTTATTTCATTGGTGTGTGTGGTTTCTCTTGAAAATAATAACTTATAGAGGGGCTTGATGGAGTCATTAAAGGAAATTGTTCATCCTGCGGTTGTCATGTCTGGGTGCAGAGGGTTGTTGTTTTATGACTAGCTGTAGAAAACAAACACAAGTAATGGGAGTGATTCATTGCATCTGACCAATATTTGGTGTTGGACATCTCCCAAGAAAGCTTTCAGATTAAACAAACACGACCATGCTATTCAACAGAGTTTTACTTCTCTACCCATAGTCTTTGCTGTACACTGTACAGCACATCCCTGCCATGCAGGGAGCACACAAGATAATGAGATCACCTAAAGGTGTAACTAAAATGGAAAGAGAATAGTGTTAGCGATGAAGTGGACTCAGGGCACTGCAGATGGACTCAGTTAACTATTGACCCTCAGGTCTTGATGTGAATAGAGAGTGGGCAGAGTGTTTGCTGAAAGCTATTTC